TACACAATCGTTATTATTATATAATTATGCAGGCCTTTATTGTGTTTTTTTTCAGTTTAGAAATACTTTACACACGCTTGTATAATATAGAACAAGATATTCTAGAAAGTTCTTCCTGACACACTATAAAACTAGGGTTATCAATAATATTAATTATTTCCTTCATTTCATGTTCATTTGCATTTTTTAGGACAATGTTTCCTCATTTACTACTCCAAATCATAATTATTATATTTAAATTTAAAATTCAAAATTATTATAAATTATAAATTATTTATTAAAATATAAAATGTAATTATTAAATATCGAAAATACATAGTCACAAGTTTTTTTATAGATATTTCAACTTTCAAGTTCAAATTTTAATAAAATTGGATAATTAAATGAAAAATTTGCACAAGTGGGTCTGTTTTATTATAGTACTGATTGCCAAGCATTTTATTGTAATTAAAGTGTTACATTTGAATTCAATGATAACCGTTGTAGATAATGAGCAGAGACAATGTGACCAGTGACACCCTACTATCATAGCATGCTTGTATAAATAATAGTAACAATAGTATAATAATAATATTTAATAACTCGATAATACTTCCCTACTTTATTTTATTAATTTGAAATTATTATGTATTTTGTAATATGTCTAATATACCTCAAAAGGATAAAAATAATAAATAAGTATCTATTGAGGTACGTCAAAAATTAATCATCTAAGCATTTGAAAAATAAAAAATAAGTGAATCTAATAACATGAGTTAGCATATTCATATCAGAAGAATGACAATAAAACTTCATATTTAAAAGTAATAATTTAAATATATCTTAAATCACAGTAATTTTTGTTTTAATTTATTAACCAACATTGAATTGATAAAAATACGTCAGTCTCCGTTTTCAGCCAAAATCGATCTTTCCGTTTACCGCGACGTCAGTTTTCCGGCAGTATAATAATATATATATTTCCATATTCCGTTAATACAAATTTCGGTTCTTATATTTTGGTAGCCCCTTATAATAAAATTGAAATATTGCATTGAGGAAATGATTAAAAGTAATTAAAAAGAGATAATAATCATTTTTTTTAAAGTTGTATACCCATATAAGATTGATAAAATAAAATAATAATATGTTTTATACTTGTAAAAATACTAATTCGTGTAATTTAGTGCCTAACTTCATAAAATAATTTAATTTTAAAGGTATAATTAAATATTGAACATATTACTTATTTGATGTATATATATATAAAAATTATATTAATCAATTTATATAAACTTCTTAATGGTATTATATATTTATCAAATTATAAACCTCATTTGTTTTACCTATATAATTTAAATTTATTATATTTTTATGTGATTTTGATATCTAATGTATTAACTGTTAAAACAAAATTCTATGTATACAATAAAAGATTATTTATTTAATTTATAAGTATTACGCGAATGGCTTTTTAAAAATGTATATTAAACAAATAATTGATTAACTAATTGCTGTTTTTATTTTAAAATTCATTGCCAACAATTATCAATAACTTTATATGTTTTCATAGCAAGAGGTTACCAAAATATAATAACTGAAAATTGTAGTAGCGGAAATTGGAAATACATTATTCATTTGTTCTAGCGGTAAACGGACTTGACGGTAAACGGAAAGGTTGATTTTTTTGGAAGAGTAGATCACCCAAAAATACAGTGGTCGTCGTGTATTGGACCAATTCATTATTTGATTGACTCATTCGCCTATTAGACTTCAAAAGGTTGGTAGCAATTTGCACGTATACTAACTAACACAAAAAAAAAATCGTCTATTAAAGTCGCCGGGCAACTATTGTCGCGGCAATTTAATTCGTGGCGAAATCGAATACCCAGCATGATTCAAATCTATATAGGTTTTCAACTACAGTGAAATTCACCACGTGTCACCCCGGTTCATGGGCTATGGCTGACTTAGATCAAAAAGCATAACCTGTACCTATTGAATGCATGTCAAATAATTACTCTATGAATTAATATTGAACCTACAAATTACTCGAAACAACATAATATGTAATATATATATTGTTTTTTGGTTTAACTCCAATGAAAATAACCGTATACATGCATGAACATTTTCAAAATATTTTGGCATTTTTTGTACTATATATATTATTAAGGTACAAGAAAATGTCGATTTATTTTAGTTTTTTTTTAAAAATTATTGTCGATAAAAATGTTCATTCGGTCAAATAACTTGAAAATGTAATACAAGGTTCCTCGTAAGAGTTGTTAATGAAAATTACAATAGAAAAATATTATATCATCAACAATAATGTTTGAATAATATTCTATCCTTTGGTAATATTGATATTTATACATTATTTTAACCTATATGCATAACATATTATTGGAAATTTAATATCTAAATTAAAACACCAAATTTTTCTTTTTATCGTTCGTTTTTATGGCGCCCTAGGGCACCTGTCCCATTGCCCCTCCCTCTTCTTGGGGCGGCTATGGCTAATGAAACAAAATGTCTAAGAACCGTCCTTAAATGAATCGTTACCAATCACCTGTTAGAAACAGTAGGTTAATTGACACATTTCACATTTTCACCTAGATCCAAAAGTGTTCCTAATAATTAGCGGCTTCCACTGTACAAGGAATGGACCAATGTAACTGTGACGAAATCAACGACTTATATATATTGTACATTAAACCATATTTTAAATACACATTTCCATTTGACGCAAAAGACGCTATTTTCCACCGATCTATAGACTTTTTCTGAACTATTTAATGCCCACCTAAGACGTTCTTTTGAGATGGTCTCTTGAAAAGCGTTATAAGCGAATTTTTCTGTAGTTACATGTAAACGTTACAAGTGAGGTGTTAGACGAATCCGACTAAATCTCAGGCTATATTAAGTGCTTGTTTAGTGGCAGTATAGTATTCATACGAAGCTGGTAAGTGGAGTGATCATTTAAATATATGTAAGCTTTACTTGAGTGCAGTATAAACAGAGTTCGTTCGTTTGCCAAACAAAAGTATTCGATATTTTCTCCACTATATGAAAAAACATTAAATCATACATATTTAATATGTTTTTATATCAAAAAACATTCAAAACTGACAGTTTATTTCACAACTCAAAATCGGTCAGCAAAATACTATACCTATTGGCACCTATTTATTTATGATAATATTATAAGTAACCTAAATAGTTTGGTCTTACCAACTGTTTTAAACTTGTACCCACCTAGTCCGATAACGCAATATCGTTCTTTTCTATAAATGTTTTTCGAAAATAAGTTATATATTTATCATATACGTAAATATTGTAGTTACATGAACTATATAGTAACTATATATATTATGTATTATATATATATTATGTATATATGAAACAATTACGCTGTAATAGATAATTATAGTAGAAAATGATTTGTATATTCTGTGTAATATATATTTCTATAAACGACAAACCTGGTAAAAAAAATAGAGGAAGATAAGTTTTAAAAGATAAAAAGAGGAGTATGTCACCGATAAACAAAAAAACCAGAAAAATAAAACGGTCAAGAATAATATCAGTGCTAAGTAAATCGTAATAAACTAGGGCGGCGCTGTACTACTTGATAGTATACACATATAGGTTACCGCTTTATCCCTGAGATATATAATATAATAACGAAATATTTTTCGTGGTAACGGTATTGTAGTGATTTCGGCGGTGCGTATGTATAACATGATATTACACTATTTTATTTATTAATTTCCAGAAAAAGGGGTTCGTATAATATATTATGATGTAGTACCGCCGCGGTGGCGGGCCGTTTAAAACCCCATTGCCGCGCTTGACAGGCATCGGATATACTATTATTATTATTATTATTATCATTATTTCTTCATATCGTTCCGGGCGTCAAAAACACTATACGACCGTGCGGCAAGTGCGGCCCGGCTCAAAAGAGATTAGAACGGTGGAGTAAAAAAAAAAAAAAAAGGTACAGAGGTATTATATATTATACACATATATTATTGTGGTGTGCACTCGTCTTTTTGGCGGCGTTTGTTGATGAATAGCGATAGAACGAGACGGACTTATGTAGGTACAGCAGTACGCTCACAGATGCACATATAGTACTATACTATACATACGCAACATCACACGACGCCGGAGAACGTACCTTATACCTATAATATAATAATATAATATATTAGGCCTGACGGACAGAGACGGAGATGCCAGAATCGGAGAGAGACAGAGAGGAAATTAGAAATCGGTCTCTATCCTGATTTACCTGTGAGCGTACACACACTGGTAAAATATTATATGTACTATTGCGATGTGTGTGTGTGTGTGTGTGTGTGTGTGTGTGTGTGTGTGTGTGTGTGTGTGTGTGCCCCACTAACGAGTCGGCGGTAAGCTCCTTTGATCTCTCGCCGCGCTTGTAAACCGAAACTCCGCCCCTGTACGGAACGCGCGCGCACACTCACACGCTCACACGCTCACACATGCACACACGTCACACACACACACATACACAAATACACACGCACACAGGGGTCCGTGGCCGAATCGGGGTAGTAAATATACCTCGGTGGGGGTTGGGTAACGCACTCGGGCTCGACTATAATAGCATATAATAATAATAATAATAATAATAACATAATATATAATGTAATGTGTATTATAACTCTTGACGTTTCGCCTCCCACCACCACCTCCTCCCCGAGGACGGAGAGCGCGCGCGCGCACCGCCCTTGGCCGGCCAGAAAACGTCGCCGTCCCGCCGCATAAGCATACCGCCACGCGAACCGTCACGACCGACCGCTGCAGTTGTGCACACCCACATCGCATCACCGCCGCCGCCGCCGTCACCCACCCGGAGCACATCCGACCGAACTCAATCCAACACTTGGCCGTCACCGACTCGTCACGGTTCAGATAACGTTTCGTCTGGCACACGACGATATCGCTGCTCGCACAATATCTGCAATATCATCACCGTCGTCGTCGTCATGATGTCTAGGTCGGCTCGACTTGGACGTTACGCGGCCGTCGCGTTGGCCGCGCTGCTGTTGGTCTGGGCCGCCGATTCCGCTTCCGCCGATTCCATTTCCCCCGACGATTCCGCTTCCGGTTCCGACGATTCCGCCTCGGACGATTACCCCTCCACCCCCGGTACATCTACAACCACCGAATCCGCCGTCTCGGCCGCCGCCGCCGCTCTCAGGGCGGACGTCGTGTACGAACTCGCTGACCTGGCGTTCACGCGTCTGGTGGCGCACAACTGTTACGAGGCATACGATCCGGTAAAGTGTCACGAGCTTTCCGACATGTCAGCCAAGGACGTGCGCCTTTACTTCGGCGGACTACTGCCCCGCAACGAGACAGTGGTAGCCGTACTCCTGGACAGCGACGCGCAGCTCACAGGCAAGCCGCACGACGCGTTCCTCGTGCTCGACCCGTTCCCCGCTTACAAGTTCGGCCACCCCGTGTTCATGTTCTACGTGGACGTGGGCGTGACCGTGTGGAAATGCGAAGACACCGAGGGCATATACACAGGTACGCATACACGCGATACACATAATATAATATATATGTACAAATATACAATCTGTTAGAGTTAGACCTAGGGTAGAATTCTATAGTTCTTTAATTTTCTTTCCTTACTACCCGACAATATATACCTAATAATATAATACAATACACCGAGAAAACCTATAATAATACCAGACGCGCTGGGTCACTGAAAATATGTAGTCCACTCTTCTGAAGGTTCTGCAGTGTATGTTCCCAAAAAAATGTTCGCTACTTCTAGGGAGGAGGACATTGTAACGGTAGTTATTTTTTCTCGCCACTGAATTCCGTGCCCGCGCTGCCATTCAAATTGATATTGATACTAAGGTTACATTACCACTGCCGGCAAGACCGTAAAGCTTGACGATTTAAACGCCCGTGACATCGCTTGTCCACGTTTCTGGTGAAAATGACTCATTTTTGTCTTCAAAAAATAAATGTCCTCGAAATCACTAGCATTTACTAGCTTCTGAACTTCGTCTAGGCAAACTATGAGTTGAGTCGATGTTATAGTATGAAAATGCATTATTTTAGTGTTTAAATTTTTGTTGAGGGTTGAGGGCTGTGAATTTGTGTGTCCTAAGCGTTTATATAGGATAAATTACGTTTTTGTTTCAATTTCAATCTAAAATTATGTACATTGTTAAGATCTTACTAGTTACCAGGGATCCGTTAAAAAAAAAAATTAGTCTACTTTACTTTGCGTTCCGAATTGTCACTGACATTGAAGAAAAACTTTTTAGTTTTTATATTTATGGACTGTATAAGGAGCGCTTTTCGTTTAGAATGATTTACGCGTGGGAAGATGGGTGTTAACTTTTGCAAAAATGTTTAACTTTGATCAACAATCATGATTCAGTATTCACACCTTTAGTATTGAACTGAACATCAATGCACCAACAATTTAAGAATGTGCTAATATAAATGTAAATATGTCGAAATATTTTGAATGCGCGTGTGAATTAAAATTAATAGTTTATTAATAATTTATCGATTTCTGTTTAAAGGATTAACATTAAATATATATATTATTTAAATTCATCTTATAATAATAAAGCAGCCTAAGCATAACTTGTTAGGACATACCTATATACGCAAATATCAAAATATAATGAAAATACTATGATTTGTAAAACTTGTAAGGTCTTACAAATCTATATTAAATCATATATTGCAAACCATAAGAAACAAAAAGTTACAAAAATAAATTTACAACTGCCACAATACCATTATTAAAAAAAACTATTTTACGCATATTATCATGTAACACATCAGCATAATAGTATGAGACACGAGTCTTCGAAAAAGAACGAAGTAAACAAGTCGTACTTACCGTGAGCTCGAAACCATTCGATATAATATTTAGACCAAATTCCTGTATTTGTTAGAAAAAACATGTTTCAATATATTGAAGAGAATATCTCGCCAATTATTTTAATGTACAAAAAGCTTAAAAAATATGTTACAAAAGATCATGGGCCTATAATACTGACTTGTGCATAACAAATTCTTGGTGGATATACATCGAACAATATGATAAAACAAACAAACAATGTGGGTGTAAACTAAAATAATATTATCTACGAAGCCGCGTATTCCTACAGATTCGAAATTCACAATTCCGTCCACAGTTCTGTCTCTGATGTCCATGGTTGTACAAAAGAACGTGTTGTATAAATGGCGTCAGGATTAAGAATTATAGCGATGTTATTATACTGAACACCGATTATGATACAATTGTTGTTAAATATTACAATAGTATGAACTATATTAAGACGTATAATGTTATATTTTTCCCACCGTATTTCTATATACGACGCGCGTTATAAATATTATATTTCATATTATTATTATTATTATTATTATTTTGTTCGGCGGCGGCGTCCGGTGACCGGCAAAGCTCCTCAAAGAACGGTGCGGCGGCGGGCCGGGGGGTTAGCCACGAGCCAACAGGTTTTGATGTGTGCCGCCACAGCCACCGCCGCCGCCGCCGCCGCCCTGATCCCGCGCCTTTGTGAGCCGCCGCCGACGCCGACGCCGCCGATCGGTCTTTAAATATATAATAATAATAATAATAATAATAATGTATATACGTCTCTGTTTTTACTACGCGCCGACGACATAATATTATATTATTATTATTATTATTATTATTATTATTATTATGTATATTATACGTCGTGCGCGCGCACCTGCTTCGGCATATAAACTTCGGCTCCTGCTGATTGAGGGGCGGCACCCCGCTTGCTCGAGGTTTATTATTATCGTCATTATTCTATTATTATACTTTGAGTATATTATTGTACCGCGCGTCGGTGTGTATGCCTACCTACACCATATTATATTATAATACCCGACGTTTCCTCCCCACCCCACCCCTCCCACCACCACCGGCCAACAAGGCCCGCCGTTTGTTTCGTGTGCACTCGTCCGCTCCACAATCAGAGACGTAAAAACAAAACGACTTTTTAGTATATTTCAACGTTCAAATACGGTTTTTTACGATAACACTGTGTGCGTACGGGGTTATTTCGTCATGGTGAACTACATCGAAATTTGATTAAAATCCCATAGATCCCAACATTCATGTATAATATACTTATAGATTATAGATATAAATAAAAAAACAGTAAGCCCCAATGGTTTTGTCATAGGCATATATATATGTCTATGGGTTTTGTCAGTTATCTATATCGTGTTATCATATAACAATGTAAACATTGCCGTTTAGGCAAATGGCGGACTAACTTCAAAATCCTGTACAGTGCTTGGGGATAGTGGGCTATCTAGTTGTTAAATATATATGTCTATGAATATACTAGATAATATCAACTATAGTATGGCATAATCTATAAACTCTCGTCTTCCAAGATTTTTATGAGTTAGTGAAGGACCTTTTGACATTAATTGTATAATATGGATTTTTTACCACTATTCAAAAATACACTAATAACGTTAATTTTACTAATGCAAATACAATAGTCCATTTTCGGTGGGTACACTACTTGCGACTCACACGATGTTGGCCCCGTAGGTGTCTGTGTAGTAGGTACAGGTATATTCAGTGGCGATTGCACTCGATCCGATGGTAGGCATTTGACTTACGGATAATTGCCGCTCTAATTTACCTTAATAGTAAACCGGCGCATCAAAATCAACTATCACGAAAAACTAAGGTAGTGGGTACATCATATTACCATAGCTAAAATAACATTAATAGAATAATATGAAGTTATAATAATGACATTGCTTTTCAGACAATTATTGTAATTTTTTATACTTATTGATTCTGCATGTTAATAATATGTTAGAAAAACAAAATACTATGTGGTATTGTAAATGTTGTAGGTATATGATATTAAGTGTTTAAGTTACGTAAATCGGAATTATTATAAGCACGTAATATTTAAATGTATACCTACCTATATAATAGTATATAATAATATGACAGTATAAAATATACATTGGTAGGATGAAAATTGATTATTGACACACCAATGTATTGTAGTTAGTTTTAATTATCTATATAATTTTTTATGGTAAATAATAATGTGTGCGATACACTATAATATATTTGTTGACAATTTACTATATAGTACTCGTATATTATTATAGCCGGTAATCTACAGGTAAGAATATATTCATTTTTTTTAAATACTTATCTTAAATGTAATCAATGAACAATATAAAAAAAAAATCGATGTTAAGCTAAAATATTTTATATAGTTGCATGCTACATAAATGCGTTTAGTTATATTATATTCGTAAAAATTTAAACAGTGCAGTTTGTTTCGACACTATATTACTGTGTACATTTTAAATCAAGTAAATCTTTTCGTCAAACTTGTAAGTGAATAAAATTGGTTGTATCCTGCAATGAATTATTATGTTGGTCATGAAGATTTGAACATTTTACATAGAAATATTTCAACTCTTTGTGATAATTAAATGATTGATACCCCCGCGTTATACAATTTATTAAAATAAATTGAAATATCCTCGTAATTTTTATTAGATTCCAATATTTATGTAAAAACCAAGCGCTTAAAATGAAAATGATGGCCTTACTATGTAAATTTCCGTCGTTGACATGTAAGCTGAAAATGACGTTTCAAAATAAAAATAAAACATTACGCCGGCGGGCCTGCGTTTGATCTCGCATGTAGGTTATTATTTGTTATTGTTATTATTATACCCACTTTAACCCTATATTATGTCGAATACAAGTGAAATAAACTACATATAGCATTGACAAAAAAAAATGTCATTAAACGTAAAAGATTTATTAATGTATTAAATATGCTAAGAAGGCAATCAAAAAACATTTTACATAATATTAAAAACCCAACACGAATTTGGAAAATTAACATTTAAATAAGCATTTATATTATTATTTGTATTCATCGTATTTGATTCCCCGTACGTATATAGACTGTTTTTATTGTCATGGAAAATTATAATAGGTATGGTTATAATACTGTTTTTAGTATAAAATCCTGTTTGATTAATTTTATTGCTGGACACTTTTATAGTTGTACGCGATACGTAAAAAAAAACAACGACTTTTTTTTAAATAATAAGCGTAGTTGATACTTATTTTATGTTTACAAACTATCTTGGATTCGATTACATGTTCCGACGATGTTTAATAATTCGTTAACACAAATATAAATGCATAATTTATGTACAAAATACTATATAATTAGGTATGATGGTATAATATATGTATACATAGTACAAATTACAATGAATTTTGTATACATTTATTATTCTGACAGTAATACAGTATAACGAGAAAAAACCATAATCGTAACTCGTGGGCCATACCCCAATCACACCGCATTTGGTCTGCAAGATTCTGTATTAGTAATTACTTTAATTATTATTTAACAATCATAATATTTGTCTCCAACTAAATTGTGAAATTAGATGTATTATTAAATATTTGTTGCAGTATTTCCGTACATTGTACATTTCTTAAGTCT